TTCGTAGAGAAAAAGTTGTTTACACGTGCTGCATTCTTGCAACTTGATGAGAGAATGTGATTTTTTTCTTGGCTAAACTTTTAGTCAGTTTCAGCTTAAAAGGGAAGCAGTAACATCTCCAGAAGATGCCAACCCCTAGTATTGGCGAAACGTCGAGAACTAATCTCAGAAGATAACGGCCTAACAGCCCAAACAAACATTTGAACAAATTAGACGATAGCCGTGAAAGCCTAACGCATTTTATAAGTTTTTAGTATAAAATTTTAATTGTTGAGGAAAATACACTATTTCTTTTGTTTTTCATTTATTTGAACCAAAGTAATTCTAATAAATCTGAAAAATATTATATGTGGCTAAGCTGACGAACGTTGTCTGAAATGATAGTTTTTTTATTACATGCATTTCCTTATAGTTTACGCAAAACTATGGGACGAATATATATGCGAAACAGGACAAGGCAGTCCTGGAATAAGGATCCGTTTATCCCACACGTTATGGAGGAGTTTTTAATTATATCCGGAGTAGTAGCAGTTTTTGGAATTCCGTTGAACTCCGCTTTGATTATGATTCTAGAGAATGGTAAGAGCTTCTACAAATTCTGATTAATAGCTGATTAATTACAACAAAGTACAACGTAGATATTGAACAAATCCGCGTTCCTTTATAGGGTTTAAATATTGAAGTTGATGGATAAGTTCAAAGTTAAATAAACGTGTTATGAAACGATAAAAAGAGCTAAGAAACTAAGAGCTATTAAGTTTAAAACTGGGTATAACAAATTTATATTTAATGAATTTGAAAGCATGGTTCATAATATCGTTTCTGCTTAATACGCAATATATAATTTGACTCATGTAGTTTGGTATGTTAATTTCTAAGTTATATTTTAACACTCATAAAACCCTAAACGCAGACACCATACAGCACTTAATTAATAGCATTGCGCAATGTTTATTTAATTGCTTGCTATTCTGCTCGATTGTTGATAAATACTGAGAGACCATGTAATGGCGATAACTGAGTTTATTTAGGACTATTTCAATTACTGAACAATGAACAATGTTAAAGCATGCGAGTACCTATTGTTGACTCTACTACGGGATGCCGCACTTTTCGGTGTGACGGATAATCATTGTTGACCTAGTTGTCGGTAGAAGAAAACAAAACCTTGCGTGTATGTTCACTATATGGTTATTTACAAGCTAAAACCATATTCCTAAAGTAAACAATCAAGGAAATTGCTTTGTATGTATAAAGATAATAAGTCTACCTCAATAGAAAAGCATACTAAGTACCATATAAACACCTCTTCTCATACAGCTGAGCCAAGTAAAGACAAAAAAAACTCAATATGTTAATCGCTTTTTATAAAAATACTATATAAAACGAAACATGGCAATATTTTTTCATCATATAAATCGATTTTTTTTATGAAAATATAAAAAGGTTTCTGGCTCCGATTATTGCTACAAAATGGATAAAGTGTCGATACTTTTAGCCTTTAAATCAGTCAAAAAAATAATTTTTTTATTAAAAATTTTTTAAAGGTGTATTAGTAGATAGACAAGAGGCATTCTGGCGCATCTCCTAAATCGCATCCCTTAATATGGCAAACCCCGGTCGTAAATGCCAAACGGCTTTTTTTAAAAGAACCCTTAGTGGATAAATCACAACGTTTTCGGAATAAATAGTCCATCTTCAGTGCTGCTACTATGTATACATACTTAAAGCCACTAAATATGGGTGACAACCGTTTAAATGTTATTTAAGTGGTATTAGATTACATTGCTGGTGATAATCATGTAGTATGTTAAAATTTTAAGTAAATTCACTTCATGGCAACATAAGCTTTCAACAAGGGTTACTGGTTAGGAGACGGAGTCTCTAAACGGACTTTAGGTAGTTGAAAAGCATCGAAACTAGGTAGGCGAAACTTTCAATGTAAAGCAACAAGATAGAATAGGGTAAAATGTAACAATAGACATTAGAAAGAGCTTCTTCTTCTTCTTTGGGTGCCGTGTCCGTATTCAGACGTTGGCCGTCATCATGCTTACAATTTCCTGAAACCTTTCTCTGTCGGCTGCTGCGCGAAATAATTCTTCTACTGTGAAACCACACCATTGTCTAATATTACGCAGCCATGAAAGTTTCTTTCGACCAATCCATCTCTTTCCTTCCACTTTTCCTTGTATTATAAGGCGAAGTAAATGGTATTTGGGTCCTCTAATTATATGGCCGAAGTATTCTGTTTTTCTCCTCTTTATGATGTTTATGAGCAGACGTTCTGAGTTGATCATTTGAAGAACATCTTCATTGGAAGTGTGCGAGACCCACGATATCTTTAGGATTCGTCTATAGCACCACATTTCGAATGCTTCTAACTAGAAAGAGCAGAGAGTTTAAATATCTCGGAGCGACAATTACCGCAGATAAACGATATCACAGAAGAGATATCGGGCAGCAAACAAATACATGTACAAATTTCACAATACTATTAAATCCAAGAGCCTAATACGAAGATAATAAATCAGTATAAATAAAACAGTGATTAGCCGGTGCTCATGTACGGATGCGAGATGTGGACGCTAACAAAAGAAATGGAGAGAAAACTCAAGATTTGTTCTCGAATGAAAAGAAATGCCGAGGTCAAACAGATGTGCAGAGCTAGCGATGTAGTACCAGAGATTAAATCCCAACGTCTAAGATGGGCTGGCCATGCCCATAGATTCCCTAATAACCACCTTACCAAATTAATCTGGGAGGAAGCCTCGATCGGCAGAAGTCCCTTTGGACAGCCACGAGTGCGATGGAGGAATAACATAAGATCAGATTTAAGAATAATGGGGCTATCCACTTACTTAACTATGATAGATGGAAGCGGGTTGTGCAGTCAGCCTATATCCAACCTGGGTCGTAGATTAATTACTATTTAACTGGGAATAAGCCACAATTAAAGATAAAAATACGTTTATTGACGTTTTAATTTCCACTTCGGAAATCGTTCTCAAAATACAAACAGTAAATTAAACAAATTTTGTTTTTTGTTACATAGTGAAAAATTCTTCTAATAATTTAATTTTATCTGACTCATTTATATTGACAATTTAGACATACATTATGCATTTTACATATTTGTCTTTTTAAAGACTAATTACATGCTATAATTTTTTTCTGACGGATATTCTCAAGTTAAAGTTGATTTCATGTAATCGAATGAACTATCTTATAAGTAAAGTCGTCCCAGGAGCGCAACTCAACAATATTGGCAATATCATTTTAAAGTCGTCTACTTTAAAATGCATAATGTATGTCTGAATTGTCAATATAAATGAGTCAGATAAAATTAAATTATTAGAAGAATATTTCACTATGTAACAAAAAACAAAATTTGTTTAATTTACTGTTTGTATTTTGAGAACGATTTCCGAAGTGGAAATTGAAACGTCAATAAACGTATTTTTATCTTTAATTGTGGCTTATTCCCAGTTTAATAGTAATTAAATTACAATGCCACAAGAAAATAGCTTCAGAACAATACTGGGTCGTAGAGGTATGAGACAAGAAGAAGATACAATATTTAAAGGGTTTCCACCCATATATTTAGTGGCTTTTTAAACATGTATATTTCCACCCACATATTTAGTGGTTTTTTAAACATGTATAACTAGTAGCAGCACCGAAAATGGACTGTTTAGTCCGAAGACGTTCTGTGATTTAGCTCGTAAGGGTATTATATTAATATACCTTTTATGAAGGATTCCACAAAAAAAAACATTTTCCTTGTCGATTTCACAAAATCAGGTGTATTGATTTTAAAACTACATTAAAAAGTACTGTTTATTGACGAAGAATCGCCTTGCCTGGCTCAATTTTCAATATTCAATGCATCTGTCAGCTTTTTGTTTATTCGCAACTACCTTGGAACGGTCCATTGATTGTCTCACTATCTGCATTTTTGAGATCGATATGCAGTCTATCTTTTTGGTCTAAAACCACATTGGTATATATGTTGTATATAAACTTTGATAATATCTCATGCCTTATCTAAAAATGTTATATCTCTATAATTTTCACATGGGAGACGAGCCAATAATAAATACCAAAAGGAAACTACAGCTTACATGGTTAGATGACCTCCAACAACACGCTGGTTAAGATGGATTCAAACTTCTCGGAACTGGGATGAATGTAAACAACCTCACTCCGACACCAAAACAGGTCATTTTCCCATGTAAATGTGTCTCATGTAAAAATAAAAAAGGTCCAAAAGACCAAATTGGTCGGAAAGTCGTACAACTCGAAAACAGGAGACGTATGAGGTATCGATGGAAATGGGAGGGGATTGCAATGAATTTTTAATGGAAAAACAAATATTGCGGCATTGCCAAAGGGGCATTATATCGTATCTTTGTTGTTATTGATTCAATTTTGACACTTGGGGCATCAAATTAAAGGGGTTTGGACTTAGATGAATATTTATTTAAAAACACAAAGTTAGCGACATTGCCGAAGGTGTACTATATCGTATCTTCGTTGTTATTAGTCCGATTATAACGTTTGAGACGATAAATGAAAGGGGATTATCTATGATCAAAATTATGGTTTACTATAATACATTGGTCGACATATTTTGGCCAATAAAATAATTTTTACCTAAAAAACAACAGGTAACATAACAAAACCACTAGATTTTTGGAATTCACGGTTTTTAACTATGTATAAATACAAAACTGAATAAGAAATTCATACATGTAAACATCACTACTTTTATTGATCACAGATTCGTGAAACGAATGCTCTTATACCATCGCAGAATCGAATAATAGTGTTTGACAAACTACAATTTGTACATGAAAAACCCATCATTAATAAAATCAGTTGTATTGATAACGACAATATTCAACTGCTATACTTTCGAGCCTTTCTACAATAAAAGGAGAAAATTTGCGGCTTTTGTTTAGCGTAGTCTACATTTTGATTTATTGAATTATATCACTTACCTTCTTATACAGCTTGACCCAGGTAAGATCACCTTTAGAATCGGTATATTGTAATCCGAAGAACCACACTTCTCTTAGGCCGACGGTTTTGATTACTTGGTCGAAAAGTTGTTTTCCGGTCGTCGTTTGGTGGATCGCGAATTCCAGCTCCGCGTCCATGGTGGTCACCCGTACGTTCATCTGTAACAAAGGTAGATATATGACAAAATGTTCATTTTTAACAAATATATATTGAACAGATCACTACGATTATTTCAGCAACATTTCAACATAAAATTTATGACACTGGAGAGATTATTTTATTTTACAAATTTAGGCTGCAAGCTAGAGAATATAATATAAAGACATAGAGACATAAGACGTGACAGCGTGGTTCGTGATTTTCAATAAATCAGCCTCTTTAGTTTTGAGTATTTATAGCTTCCCCATCAAAGATTACGTACCATGTAATAAGTCGGATGGTGCGATGACACGTTGGCACTTACAGAGAAGAGGATACACCACGTTTAATCGGCAACTCACTATAACTGACTGTATTGCGCTGTCCAATTCTGAAGTGCAACATCATCGTACACAGTTGTCTACTGGGAAAGAATGTACAAAATATTTTATTTTTACATTGTAATTATGATCTCTGTACGTGTCAAATGTGTCAAGTGTTCTTTAAATGAATATTTTGATTCGTTATGTAAGTTTATGGTATTGTTCGTAATGCGCAAGTCCAATTTTCCAAATTTTTGTTACATATTGTTTTGTAAACTCCTGGCTAAAGAATCTACGGGAATGGTATAGCTGTAGCAACAACGAATTGTTTCGGTCAGCAGTTTCGAAAATACGTATAGCCCTGATGATCGCCAACCTTCGGAACGAAGATGGCACATGAAGAAGAAGATTGTTTTGTATCTCATAGAGTCTCTAAGCATATACCTGAACTACTATACTTCCTAAAATGACACTCGAAGACTGCAAGACGGAAGAATCTCGCAGGCTTAGTCTTGTTCTCGCTCAAATCTTGCACGGTCAGTCTTGGTCTTGCTAAAATTAGGCGGTCTTGGTCTTAGTCCTGCAAAAACGCAAGAACAAGACCAGGACTGCAAGACCAAGACAGATTTTGGGCAACACTAGTTAAAATGGACACAGAGACAAAAAGAGATGGTAAAAGAGGATTCAAAGTGGCTCTTTTGGATGCTAAAAAATAAAAATACAAGGAAAACTAGCAAAAAGAAAACGAAATTTCAAATTAAAAATGTCTTATGTATTAACTTTATTTTGTCTATTAGTCTTATCTATAAAGAAGGACATATTGGATTAGGATTAGGATTTGTTGTAAATACTGAGTCTGATTTCCAAGAAAAGTGTTAAGTAACGAAAAATAGACGGTGTTAATGTTAATATGACGGTGTTAATATTAACTCTTAAGATTTACATAGCAAAAAGTGGTTACATAGAGTTTATTAGTCTTTCTTTTGATTTCTATCTTTGTACGGTATTTGTAGGTCATTTCCCAAAAATTTTAGCTATTTAATTTTTTTTTTTCTATTTCGCCACTGACGTAATCAATTTATTATTTAGTTCTGCAGTTATTGCGCATTTGTTACAAAAAGTTTAGACAACCTGAATTTCGACATTTTTACAAAATAGGGATCTAACAAAAAGAAACACGGGCTCTAAGGCCGATCAGAAGGAAGCCTTCCAGTTAATTTTATTAGAAAAATTAGACCGGAACAACTAGTAGATAAAAATGAGACAGCAGTGTCAAGATATATACAATGGTCGTTTGACAGTTTACTTGTAAGTTCATGGCCTTCATATTTTAAGAGTTTATTGGGTATACCATCTGTTCCACGGGTGATTTTCTGTTTTTTTTATCTTCTTGATATTTGCTTCTACCTCTTGGTCATTGATTGTAGCACTTATATCTGTTTCGAATTTGTTTATATTCAACGTTTCTTCAGCATCATATAGCTCTTTAAAATGTTTTTGCCATGTCTCTATAAGTACTCCTTCAGTCTGCACGAACTCGTTAACTGGTTTTTTCCTGTTCCGAAGCATTTTCCATACTTTCTTTGGGCACTATGTAGGTCGTAGTTCACGTCGCTGGTGAATTTAGCCCAATGTTCTCTTTTGATTGATTTTATTCTTGCGTTTACTTCGTTTTTTACTTGGACATATTCTGCGAGAGCTCCTTCCGATTGTATGCGTATGATATCTCAGGTAGAATTTGCATTTCAATTCAGAGAGTTCTTTTACCTTTTGACAAAACCACGGTTTGGTGTGGTTTATCGCTCTCGTGTTAACTTTCCGATTTCCAATTGCTTCTTCTGCTGCTTGGTTGATGTATTTCCTGATTTTTTTCCAAGTATCTTCTACTCTCCATTCTGGTTGTAACTCGATCTATTTTAGTTTGCTGGTAATCCTGTTCTCATAAAGGAGTTTTGTACTCTCTGTTGCTAGCGACTCTATACTGTGCTTTTCGATGAGCATTGGGGGTTTTCTGTTTCGTTGCGCACATTCTAGTAGCATCTTGCATAAAACAAGGTTGTGATCGGTCCCCATGTTAGCAGATGTTAGGGCTCTGACATTAAGTACTTGTGACGGTGTTATCACTCGATTTGTGATTATAAAATCTATCCTTGATCGCTGGCCTCGATTATTGTTAAAAGTGTATTGATGTTGGTCTTTATGAGGAAAGTATGTGTTGTTGATTCTCATTTCATTTCTAGCGCAAAAGTCTATTAAGGCTTCGCCGTTTTCATTAATTATTTCTTCGTGCATTAAGATCCCCGAATACGATAACTTTATGTTTAGCATTTATGTTATCTACGGTGTTTTGTAGTTGCTGATAGAAATCAGCGTGATAAAACCACTAGAAAAAAAGCTGTGAATGTTTTGCTTGCTAAATTTCAAGAAGTGAAAACGGATACTAATGAAGAATTGGTAAAAAAGAATAATAATTTTTGAACCTGTTATAAAAGGGAATTAAAATTATCTATATATAACTGCAATTCTTCTAATAAATGTACGTGACAGTATGTATGTATTTTTAGCAACCAATCTTTGCAGCACCAACTACGTTTCTTGTACCACAAATCGGATAATTTTAGAATTTGACAATAATAACAAAAAAAATCGTGAATCTTTACAACCTAAGCATGAATTTAAGTGTGAAATTTGGAACCTTAATAAATTTATTACATAGTAAATATTTTGTGTTAATCGGTTAATGCCTCAATGATACTTTAATTTTAAAATGACTATTATTAATTCTGAATATTACTTGTCATTACAACTAAATTGCTATCAACAGTTGCTATTTACATACGTAATTTCTAATCCATCAACTTTTTCAACAGAAAAATTCGAATTTTAACTCAAGATATTCGTGTTTTTAATTACCTTCAGTGTTAAATTATAAAAATTGTTTTATTCAAGGTGAAACCCGTTATCAATTAATAAAATTATTGTTATTTATGTTTCACATTCGTATTAGAGCCGAAGGTTATGGCGTTGATACTAAACATGGCAATAATAATAATGCACTTATCGTATAAGTCATAACATTTGATAATATTAAAGAATAAACTCATTTTGGTAGTATTTATTTTTAAAATATATCACCAGACGTTTGATATAATACAAGAGGAGAAAAATATTTCGTTAAAATTATCAAATAACTTTTATTGTTTTATTACAAAAATGAAATAACGCTGGGCCGGTCACATATAGATCAGGGTCGATAATTTTTTAAACCAAAAAAAGGTATAGTAGAATGAAACCTATTGGAAAAGGAAGAGAGTATGCTAAAAATGGAAGAAAAAATAAATTCCACTCCATCCGAGATCGGGAAGTGGGAGGCGGTGAGTTTTTAAGGATAAAAATCGGTTTATCGCGATTTTTGGCGAAACTACAAGTGCTATGGAAAAAAGTGTTGGCAAAGTTGTAGGTAACAAAAAGATTTATAACTTTTGTATCTACACTTTTTTCACATAACCTCAAAATTTTTTGTGAAAAATTAAAAAAACTAAGTTTTTCATTTTTTATTTTTAAGTTTTTTTAAGATTTCAAGAAACAAAAAGCCTACCGACTTAAAAAAAATAACGGATATTTTGACGCGTGAATTTTTGATTGAAAATTGAATTTGTGAATTGTGAAGTGAATTTTTCGATATTAAATCAGTATCAGGTAAAAAAATAAATTTTTCAATTCTAAAAAATTACAGTGTTTGGTACATACTAGAGCAAGCTTTCACCAAATTTCGTAAAAAAAATATTTTTTTTGTAAAAGAAAAATAAAAAACAAAAGTTTTTTGAATTTTCCACAAAAATTTTGAGGTTATGTGAAAAAAGTGTAGATACAAAAGATATAGATCTTTTTGTTACCTACAACTTTGCCAATACTTTTTTCCATAGCACTTGTAGTTTCGCCAAAAATCGCGATAAACCGATTTTTACCCTTAAAAACTCACCCCCTCCCACTCCCCGATCTCGGATGGAGTGGAATTTATTTTTTCTTCCATTTTTAGCATACTCTCTTCCTTTTCCAATAGGTTTCATTCTACTATATTTTTTTTTACTTTTTACCTTTTTTAAACGCTTCGACACTGGTCTAATGGCCAGATTCGATGATATTATTAGGTGACAAGTTGACCTCAAGAAATGTGTAGATGACATAGGACCATTGGCATGCGAACATTGGATTGGAATGTAGCAATATAGAGAAAGATGGAAGCAATTGGGAGAGACTTACATTCAGCAGTGGATGAGAATGGTTATCGACGAGATAGGAGAAATATAAGTGCAATTTCCAGTATAGAGGTGAGTACGAAGAGTGGATCAGAATTTAAACCACAAAAAATTAGAGAGGATGCTTCTTGGACTGAAATTAATTAATAGGAAAGAAGAAAAAAAATTAGAACAAAAAAATAAATACTGGAGGAATTTAGATAAGGAATCATCATGAGGATCAGAACAGTTAAAAAAAATTCAAGTGGCACATCTAGTTCAGACTAAAAAACGGAAGTTTCAAAAAAAATCATAGGACCATAATACAAGTAGACCTAAGAAAAGTGGACGATACAAAATAAATGGAAAACAGGCTTAAATTTTAATAAAATTTTTAGTTCATATCATACTGGTATTGAAATTTTAATTGTAACAACTTATACACTTATCTGATCTCACCTTCTATAATTATGTAATCGTTCTGTCTTTGTATACCTATATTTAATAAGTTTCTTGTTACATCTTCCATCAGTTACCTATAAATGTTAATTGCCCATGACCATCTACTTTTAAAACTTTGCGAAGATGGGAAGAGCGTTATAGAAAGTTGCTAATTGAAGATAGACAGGAATTTATGTTACGAATAGAAAGAAAATGGTGAAGAAAAACCCGAAAATGTAGAAATGGCTATTAAGGAAGAAATGGGGGCTGTAGGAATAACTGTAGAGCTAGTAACAGATGATTCAGATCTCCTAAAGGTTTACAGGTTTTAAAAAAGACTACTCTCTACTACCCTGTTTAAAATATGTACGCCCAACAGCTCTACATAAGAGACCTTATGATCCTTTATTGTTAGCGGACGATCAATACGACACAACATCCATGCCTAGCAAGCTAATTTAAGAATACACAAAACGGGGTTTGAGAATAAATATAATAAAACTGAACAGCTCATACCTGTAGGAAAACCCCTAAGATATTACACTTAACGATAAGATTATAAATGGTTGCAAGGAATAGACAGTTAAGTATCTACATTTCTGCAACCAATTTAGCATTAATAATCTTTACCTGTTTCTTATGCCTGCCCCATGATTTATCACTACCAAACAACTCCATGGAATGTCTGGAATCTGTGTTCTCCATTTTCTTCGAAATATCAGAGTCCGTAGATCCATTTATAACACCAACACTGGTTTCTCCGTTTTTAATAGATTCTACATGTCCATAATCTACTATTATTTTCTTCTTAAAATCTTCTAAACTCTTAAAATGGTGTTTTTTCAACATTTTTTTGAGTTTTTTATCTGTTATTCCCTCTAGAATTTCTTTGATTATATCTTTTTCTGGCAAGTGGAGAATCTTCCCCATAGAAACTTTATCTTCGAAATACTCAATGAAATTATTATCATTGTGCCACTTTTTACTAACGAAATGGTTACCCAAAAATTGGTCGATAATCCTATCTTTGAACTCATCAAATTGAGTATCTCTGGGTAAGTTAGTGTTAAACCAAGTAAGAGCCACACCTCTGAGTTTATTAGCAGCTATTGGGACCAGATACTCTTGCGTCAATCCAAAACGTTCTTGCAACGTTTCAATTCGTGATAGCCAAGTTAGGAGGTCTTCTTCAGGATGACCGTGGTATTTCGGAACCAATGCTGATATTTCGGCGTTCTGAAGGCTGAGGATACGTATTGCTGTAACTAGTACGTCATCGTAGTTAGAAAAAGAGTCTTCGGAATTTTTGGTAGAATTCGCGGCACTAACGGTAGCGCTTTGGTTATCCATTTCTGTTAATGTAATGAAAGTAAATAGTGGAATCGGTAAAGCACAGTTCTAGACATGTAGAGATATTATTGGAAACTAATAAAAAATATTTTTTCTAAACCTTAAACTATAAGAAAAAACTATAAGCAAACAAGAAAACCATTGATCATTGGGAAGAAGCAAATCATTGCTCTAACAAACGAAACCACCAAAATTACCGACAGAAATGAATTCTACAGCGAACTATAAAAAGCCCCTGAAACATTTAAAGAAGAAATCAGTAACCAAGAAGATGTACCAGAAGTCCTTCTGGAAGAAGTAGAATCGACAATTACAAAAAACTTGGAAATTATTAGAGGATATCAAAGAGGATATTAAATATTACAGACCTTTAAGTCTACTACCAATGATATACAAGATCATCAACAACAGATCATTAACAACAGATTAACAAATGCATTAGATGCTGCAAAGCCAAGAGGGCAAGCTGGTTTCTCAAGTCTATTTAGTACCATGGATCATATCAAATGCTTCAAGAACTAATGAGTAGAGCTAAAGAATATAAAATACCGCCTGCATTAACCTTCATAAATTTCGAGAAGGCTTTGGTTCTATATATCTATGAATAACAATGAAGTTGGCTTAAAAATGAACTTAACAAAAACAAAAGAGCTAGTGGATGTCCAAGATGTAATAAAAAATAACACTGCACAGTAGAAGACTATGTATACCTGGAACAATTAATACATAAATCTGGTTCCTTTCTCCCAGAAATCAACAGAAGAATAAAACTGGCTTGGGCATCTTTTGGTAAAAATGAGCAGATACATTCAAATCCAAGATGCCACATCTGAAGAAAAAACATTCGATCGGTGTACATTACCAATCATGACAGAGCTGGGAAACTTGGACAAAGAAAGAAATAATAGCAAAATTGAAAGTCATTCAAAGGTCAATGGAGCGATGCATGCCTGGTATCCCAAAGAGAGATCGTGAGACAGTCGTGATAAATGAAAATTACATCTAATCTATATTGGAATCAAACTACCAAGGATTTTACAACCAGAACACCGGAGATAACAACATAGGATGTTGGAAGAGAGGAGTCCGCCAGGGTTGCGTGCTGTCACCACTACTTTCAACGTCTACAGTGACGCGGTATTTAAAGAAGCGTTCTCAGATTCAATAGAAGGTATATCTATTAATGGAGAAGTTTTGAATAACTTGCATTTTGCAGACGATACAGTAATAATGACAACAGGATAACAACAATGATTTACAGAACGTAATGCAACGATTTAATGAATGCTGTCAAGAATACGAACTAAGGATGAATTTGAAAAGAACGAAATGCATGACTAAATCAGCAGATGCAAACATTTAATTTATTGTTGAAGATGATTGAGAGTGTGGATACATACAAATACTTAGGAAAATGGATAACATCAAATGTAGACCAAACCAAAGAAATTAAGACAAGTATTGAAATAGCACGTGCGTCATTCGATAAACTTAAAAAGCTTCTTTGCGTCGGTGTTACGTATTCACTGCTTTTCTTTATGACTTCGAAGCATGGACATTAAAAGTGCATCTGAATAAGTTGTCCGCCTTTGAATTTTCGTGTTACAGAAGAATCCTACGAATATCATGGACTCAAAGAATGTTAAACGCAGAAGTTACTAGAAAAATAGGAAATGAAGCTGAAATAATATTGACTATTAAAAGAAAAAAACTTTAGTACTTAGGCCATATTATGAGAGGGCAAAGATACTCATTATTGCAGCATATTATGCAAGGCAACATTCGAGGAAAGCGAAATGAGGTAAAGATTTGAATGCAGTAGTGCAGAACTTTTAAGAGCGGCAGTCAACAGGGTACGCATAACCATGATGATTTCCAACCTTCGATAGAAGATGGAACTTAAAGAAGAAAAACGATCGAAAAATATACAATCATTGTTACCTCTATATAAATAGAATACAAAACTGCCTATTAGAAAAGCCAAAAGCAAGAAGAATAAGACGACGGCCTATGTGCCAATAATATACAAATAGAAACATGTGGACCTACTTTACCTTTAGTTAATTATTTTTATCAGAAACAATAAAGCAAAAATCGATACGTATGATAATAAACTGGCTAATAATTAGTATAATCCTAAAAAATCGTATAATCCCGATAAAAACACTCCACTTATTTTTAATAATATAACTTATGTTCACAACACAAAATCACAGTTAATATCGCCAACGTTGTTAATTCACTAAACACAGAAGCGAATATCTATTCCATACTTTAGTTGTCTACAAAAACTCAAACCGATAATAATTAGATGTTGAAAAAGTAGCCGAGTAAAAAAGAATCGTTTAGAGACTACAAAGGCGTTCTTGAATACTGCGATCATTTTTCCTGCCTTTATTTTAAGTGGAGACGGTTTATTAATTCAATTATTTTATCTGTTAGGGGTCACAGAACGGAGATTCCCAATAAGACAGATGATAATATGAAGACGTGATAGACACGAGAAAAATTATTTTTGTCGATTACTATAACCACCAAAAATTAAGGTTCATGGCATGTACCTATGTGCCGATATACGAAAGAATTTTGGCAATTTTTAATACACACTTCTCACATGATCAGTTTTTTCATAGCCCAAGAGTATTAGGCCAGTCTGGTTAAAAAAAAGTCGAAACATTTTTCGCAGATATCTGAAGCTTTTAAGACATAGTTGGGGGTTACTAGATGACGAATAGATGAAAAAGTACTCGTATTTTTACCTTGCGGTTTTTCTATAAGTTTTTTCCCTTATATTTTACATAAACAATATTTATATCATATTTCTTTTATTTATATCAAGAATTTATTTATTTTCCCGTTTTTTAAATTAAAATTTATAAATAATTTACGGAGATATTTGCAAAAAGCAGTTTTTTGCACTAATTTATAAATTTTAATTATTTTTTTTATTAACAAAATAAAATGTTATTAATACATTTGAACATAGAGGAATTACCGTCTTTTAAATTTGTGCAAAATTTCCCCCCGAACGGTCAATTAGTAGTTATTTAATTTATTTGTCCCTGAAGCAAAATATGTATTTAAACTATTGAACTTGCTCTATTAATGACACATTTAGCAAATTTTATAGACTTCTTTAAGGGCGAGCGCCCACCAAAGTGGCGTGGCAAGTAGCACGTAGCAAGTAGCATGCGTCTAGCATGTTTGTTAAAATGTAACCAATGAAAACGAATGATTAGAATGAATGACGTCACTGTAATTTTGGTGTGTGCTAAATCATTCGTTTTCATTGGTTACATTTTAAGAAACACGCTAGACGTGTGCTACTTGCCACTTGCCACGTGCCACTCCACTTTGGTGGGCGCTCTCACTAAAACTTAAACTATCTCAGAAGTAAAATGCATATTGCGTTTTCATCAAAATTATTTACAAAATAAACGTATGTTTATGTTTTGTACCTATAAACAATTGTAATAACTACATTTTTCAAGCTACAGACTTGTTTATACAACCATTGGATAGATGATAAGAAAACTCACATTAAAAAAACGTTCTAAGACCAATACGAACGAAGTTAGGGACTATTTAAAAAAATCAAAAACCTAAACTCCTTATACAGACCCATACAAACTATACTGATGATACCAATATTGTTTGGAGATCGGAAAACGCTGTATGAGGGGCGTATGTAGCATTAAAAGAATCAGCTACAAAAATGGGTTTAATAATAAACACCAACAAAACGAAGTATATGAAGATAAGCACACAACCACAAATCCTAAGACCACTTGTTATAGAAAACGACGCGAGACGTCATCGAAGGAATTGGCATGTTAACAGATGCTATTTTGGGCTCAATATCCTCCTTAAATCCACAATTATATCGAGAAATACCAAAATAAAACTCTACAAAACAATAATATGCCCAGCCCTAACAGGGTTCATAGACCTGGACTGTAACAAAAAGAAATGAAAACACGTTGGGATGTTTTGAAAAAAAAAAGTACTAAGTCGAATCTATGGAGCAGTGAATGACAATGGCGTGTGGAGAAGACGATACAACTTCGAACGTTATAGAATGTACCAGGAACCTGATATCGTAAAACATATTAAGATAAGACGTCTGAGGTGGATATGACATGTAACGCGAATGGAACAAAATGGTCCAGCTAGGAAAACGCTCCTTGATAGACCCATTGGCTAGAGAAGAAGAGGAAGACCTAGAACAAGGTTCCTTGATAACATCGATGAAGACACAAGAAATATGGGAATACGTGCTTGGCGGATGAAGGCGATGGATAGGGACCACTGGAGAGAAATCCTTGGGGAGACTAGGACCCACAGGATTGTAAAGCCAGAATGATGATGATGATACAATCTAAGCCAAGGTAATCCATTTCATCATCTTCTTCTTCTTAGCATGCCTTCATTTTTTCTTTTTACAGCCTCTTTTTTTTCGCTGCATTTTTCTTAGGCATTAGTTTTTTTAAGTCAAATAATTTTTTCTTTATTTTATCCTCTTTGCACTTTGTTGTTCCCTTTCTCTTTAACTCTTCATTGCGAATGTTATCTCGAAACAGGTGTGCTAGTCAAAACTGCAGATGCTCTTGCGTTTTTTTATTTTTTTCGACGACCAGCTTTTGGCAGAGGTCTTATATCGATAGGGCTGATAGGTAGAACTTCGGCATGGGATGATCCTGGTAGGTTGGCATGTGAAGATGCTGGTTGATATGGTCCTGGTTGGTTGACATTTTCGAATTGACATTGGTTGACATGGTTGATACGATCCTAGTAGGTTGGCCTGTGATGATCCTGATTGGTTGGTATGGGGAGGTCCTGGTTGGTTGACATAATACGACAGTTCAGATTCATCTAGATACTAAGACTTTTCAAGTTGCCCAGCACTAGCTTCCTTATTACCATCTTCGATGTCCATAGGCCTATTCAAAGGTGGGTTGGCCGCCGAAGAACACAGAAAGTTTTCTTCATTCAAAATTGAA